ACATCACATTTAACAAATAGCGCATACGTTCGCACTTTTTATGGGAATATTCCTTTTTTATTTGAACATGACATTCACATATTCAAATAAAAATGACTCTTAGCATGTAAAATGTGAAAAATTATCTAAAAACATGGCCTTCTGTAAATATATGACATTTCCATACAAAAAAGATGGCATTTTTGTATATGATACAATGTCATTTTAAGATAAAAAATGATGGAAACTTAAAATTAAAATGCAAGAAGAAATAGTAAAACGAGAAAACCAAAGATGATATTACCATTTTGATAAAGTTACACCATAAAATGATATCTATCTATCAATCTATATACAAAAGTATAAGTGGGAAAATGTCACTTTCCTATCCAAAAACACAAGACAGAGGGAGTATAATTTATTTACATACTCCCTCAGTTCTTTTTTAAATACAACATTGGACTTTTTCCACTATTCACATGTTCTACTTTGACTCTATTTTATTTATTAATGTGTAATGTGTACTAAATTAAATTTTAAAAAAATATTGTTAACTTCTTCTCATTTCAAATTTTCAAAATCTAATTTTTTAATTTGTTTACTGATAAGGAATGAAAGATATTAACGGTCAAACTTGTGTGTTGGCAAACATGAAAAGTGAGCTGCTGCATTTAAAAAACAACGGAGTCAGTATATTATATATATATATATATATATATATATATAAAACTTGCTTTTCTTCCTCCGGAAAATATATATAGGGATGAGTTCAAATGAGAAGACATTTTAACGTGTAAATAAGGTCTATTTGAAAGTGCATCAGTGTTAATTCTCACTGAAAGTGGATCAGGTCGACACTTTGGACGGCTGAGTTTAATTCTCATTTTACACGTTAAAACTTTTTTTATTTGATCCAAATTCTATGTGTGTGTATGTATGTATGTATGTGTATATATGTATATATATATACTACGAAGATAGGTTGGAATGTTCCCGTTCGGTTTACGATGCTTGACTGACGATAAATCAATTCAATCCCTGTTCACACTCCGCTTATTTTTAGTAAATAAAATTTACATATTCAGAAACTACATTAAAACCGCTACAAAGACTGCTCAAGAAAAGTTCAATTTGATAAAAATTTGATATATAAAGTAAAAGATTAGGAGTGACCTAAGTTGACCAATGAATAGTGAACGGGAACATTCCAACGGGACGGAGGGAGTATATACTGAATAGGGAAGCTTGGAAGATAATTCAGTGACACAAGGAGTATTACTGTAACATTTTTAGCATTTTAATCTTTTCTTTAAATGCGGTTTGATTTCTTGGGTAATAATTATATTTGTATTTAAAAAAATACAAATATAAGAGTAAACCGATTTGTAAATTCCAAAATATGAGTGTTATTGAAAAGATTAATTATTGCAAAGCTTTGAAATATTGTCACTTATGGCAGACTTGCAGTATACTGCAATGTTTGAAGTGTGGTAACGCCAAAACCTTGTAATGTTTTAAGGCAACAATAATATACTCTTATTTAGAGAAAAATATTTAAACTATTTCACTTCTCTTTTTGAGACATTCTATAAATTAATTGATAAGTTCTCTTAAATAAAAACTTAATCATCACATGTTAAAATTAATATATTTATAACATCATCAGTATCACCCATTACCTCATTATATTATATAACTACTCAAACTACTTCTCATTTTCTCACGGGAAGAGTATACTTTTCCCGTCTATGATAGTAAACTTTGGTCAATCATTCTAGTTAATATATTTGTCCAAAATTTATAAATTTTATAGATTTATGATGATTTTTTAACAAAGAACATTTCATGCAAATTTTATATAATAAATACTTCCACACATAAATATATAAAGTAGTTCCGACATTTGTTTATTCTATAATTATTGTGTATTGTTAATGACTTAATGTAAACAGATAGTAGGATATAATTTTGTATTATATTTTATTTCGTGCATCGCACCAGTAAAAATCTAACTATTTGCCAAAGTGGCATTTCGTTATTGGAGAACATGGCATTATAATTATAGTACTTTTAGTATTATTGCCAACTTCATAAAGAAAACACTGTAAAATGACATTTTTTGAACTACAATTTTCAGATTGAAAATACACAAAAAAGGTAATGTTAATTTTTTAAAATAATTTAGTAGGAATATAAAAGTTAGATCTAAAAGTTTATGGTCAAGATCATTGGAGTATCACATTTTCCGTTTAAAAAATTTCAGATCTGGAATATCAATTTTCAATCACAATCTCAAAAGATGCAAAAAAAAGTTAGTGGTAAATAACAAAAAGATGAGTAAGAGGAGAGGAGGAGAGGAAAAATATTGCCATAGAAGAATGACATCTCGTCGGAGAAGTAGTGATGCACCAAAGATGCGAAGCTTGTGGTGCCCGAAAAGGTAGAGGGAGAAGGAGGGAGGGGGGGGGGGGGGAGAGAGAGAGAGAGAGAGAGAGAGAGAGAGAGAGAGAGAGAGAGAGAGAGAGAGAGAGAGAGAGAGAGAGAGAGAGAGAGAGAGAGAGAGAGAGAGAGAGAGAGAGAGAGAGAGAGAGAGAGAGAGAGAGAGAGAGAGAGAGAGAGAGAGAGGAGTCCTCAAATTAATTAGAGGTTGGATAATTAATTGTAAAACGATAAATAATTCCTATTTTAATTTTAAGAACATAAAAGATTAAACTCTCATTAGCAAACTTTTACCATATTTTACTCATATCTCACACCATCTCTCTTTGGGAAATCATTTCCTTTTGTATTGGGAACGTTGAAAACATAGGATACAAAATGTTTCCTCCGTTCTTTTTTAGTTGCAACATTCTCTTTTTCACGCTTGCCAATGCACAACTTTGACCGCCATTATATTTAATTTTCTATTAGTAAAAAAATTTAAAAATCATATTATGAAACTTTGTAACGAGACGAACTCAACAATATTTTTCAAAAAATATTATTCACACACATTAATAAATAAAATGTAGTCAAAGTAAAGTACATGAATAGTGTGTAAATTCCAATGTTGCAACTATTATGATACGAAGAATAGTACATTATACAAATACTAAAGCTTATTCAATGCAAAAATGCGAACGATGTATATGAGGGATAATCAACTAAAACCAACAAACAAAATCTCTCTCTCATTATTATAATGGGTTTGGTAAGTTTTCCTCCACAATGTCTAGATGTAGACATTGTGGTTGGCATTATTAAGAAAAACTTACCAAAACACATAAGATCGTGGAAAGAAAAAGAGAGAAATGTCATACACTTTATTTTTTATGTTTATCTTTCTCATGTTACATGTGCACTGTACACATTATATCATTGGAGATTTGGAGATGCTCTAAGGGCTAGGTTGGTCATTGGTAAGCTGTTAAGTTGGAAGTAGGGTTGTAAATGAATCGAATTGAATCAAATCGAATACTTGACAATATCATTCATATTCGTATAATTATCGAATATTCGTATTCGTATTCGTTTAATATTCAAATTTAATTTATTATTCGTATTGGATTCATTTGGTATATTCAAATATATTCGAATCCTTTGCAAATCTTATTCGAATTCGAAAAACATCAAAAGTTAAATTATGAAAATAATTGAAATTAGGAAAAATTGAAAATAATAATCGCAACTATTGTCGGTCCGCTAACAATAATCCCAACTATTATTCGCTCAAGTCATCTTCGAATATAGTCGACATTTGACTGAGCGAATAAGTCATCTCAAGTCATCTTCGAATAATATAGATGACTTAATCCGCCACCGGAATCTTCTGCCGCCACCGCCGGACTGCCCCGCTACCAACGGATTGCCTTGGTTGCCCAAGGGAACTAGGGGGGGCAATGATTAATTAGAATAAAGGTTTCCACCGGTCGCCGGAGCTCCATCGCCGGCGCCGGCGCCTGCCACCGCCACCACCGGATTGTTGCCGCTACCAACACCCTGCCCCGCCACCGACGGACTGCGCTTGTTGCCCACGGGAACTAGGGGGGCAATAATTAATTACAATAGGGGTAATTAGGGATAAAAATTAATGTTTACTCCTATTTGGAGAATTTTAGAAGATAACTCCTATTTAGGGAAATGTGGTATGTTTTACTCTTATTGGGAGCAATTTCTCTTATTAACTGTGTTTACTTAGAACTGAATCAGATGACTTATTCGCTCAGTCAAATGTTGACTTATTCGCTAGCTGATAGTTTCTTTTCTCCACATCTGCAAAACGAGTTCTCCATGGATGAATAAAACAGAGCAAGGTGTCAGCTGCCAAGGCCGTTCATCTTCCTAACAAACATATTTGTAACTTGGAGATCTACACCTTCACTATTGGATATTTCTCTAGATTACTTTTGCAATTATTTATTTTTAACATTTTATACATGCTCTGCTAAAAACATGATATGTGCTATATATTTGTCTGTCGTTTATGAACCAAGAGGGATCTCCCAAACAATCCAACTGCTTACCAATTTTACATCACACTGGTCGCATTCAAGTTAAACCATAGACAAAACACTCGTCTTCAATTGTATTGGAATGATGAAAGAAATCATAGATAAACTCCCAAGTTTTTTTGTTTAAAAATATAGATCTTCGATTTTACATTTTTACAACTTAAGGAGTATTTAATAATCCGTAATTAATTGGTATTTCTATCTTCAGAAATTATAGAAATTCGATGCCAATTATCTTTCAGAACAAGGAAAGTCAAAAACAATATGCCCGAGGATTATTTGGACATTACATTATTTATATTTTTCATTCAGTACACTTTGTAAACAGTTTGTTATCCCAATGAGTAGTTACACTTAAGCTAGACAAAAAACTTAATCTAGACAGACATCTTAATTCATTCAGGACTTAATCAAAGAAAAAATAAACAATCCCTTAAAATTTAAAATAAGAATATTTAAATTAAAATATGAAAATACCTACTAGTTCTGTACATATAAATTCGATTTCCTTCAATTTCCACCCTCCCACAATTTAAACTTTACCCGTAAAACCCCATCCAGGATAGAGGGGGGTTTATCCTTTAGCTCCATGGCTACCTTCCCCGACAGCTTAAGTTTAAGCATTCGCAGACCCGACTCAAAACCATCACCGCCGTGCAAATCCAAAGTCGCACCAAATCAAACTGGGCGCAGAGGGTCAGTCATCTACAGCAAAAAGTCCAAGAACGAAGATGCATTCAAGGAGAAGAAGCAGGCTGTCGTGGACTACGACAGAGGGACCCACCAGGTTTCTGTTCAAATCGACGGCCTCAGGAAATCTGACTTGCCCAAACGGAACCGTTTGCGGGTCGACGGGGACGGGTTCCAGAAGGACTGGCCACTTTCTGAGGTTGTTGCCAATATAATGAAGCTCAATCACTGGGAAGATATTGATGGCCTTTTAAATATGTGGGCCGGTCGCTTCGCCAGAAAAAATTTCCCAGTTCTTATAAGGGTAATTCCAACAGAAGGGCAATACTATTTTGTGTTGAGTTTCCTCACAATATTTGAAAGGATTATAGTTGCTTTGTTAAAATAATGATATAACAATAACAATAACTTGGTATTAATTAAACATCTTACTTTGTAATATAGCTTTCTAACAGAGACCGTGCATTTCTTTGCTCACAGTTCAGGCAAAATCAAAATCTCAAGTAGAATAAGTTGAAGTGCATTTCTTTTTACTGATTTGGTATTCTCTGAGTTATGTTTGTAAGACCCCTTTTAAGGTCATTATAACAGTACCCCTCTGGTAAATGCTTGAGCGTTAATGACACAAAACTATCCTTCTCGATTTTTCATATTCTCTGTAGTGAACTAAATCATCAAAGACTATTTTTTTATCTCTAGCCGGTCAAGTAGTGGCCAACAACAATTCTTCATCTCCCTTATTGGGTGTTGCTTGGTTATTATAAATATTCTCTTGTGATAAATGCTTTGACATAGCTTGATGGAAATCTCTCTGAGTTATTACTTCAAATTACTATAGGAAATTACACAGCTTGGTTCAATAGAGCATAGCCTTCATGTTTTCAATTGGATGAAGAACCAAAAGAACTATTGTGCACGCAATGACATTTACAACATGATGATCAGGTTACATGCAAGGCATAACCAAATTGACCAAGCTCGTGGTTTGTTTTTTGAAATGCAAAAGTGGAGGTAAGCTGGTAAGCTTCTTATTATTAAACATATTCTGCTCTCAGTCATATAGTTATCTCCAAAGTATTTGGAGTGTGAAAATCAGTTCTATTATTAGTACATCCTTCTCGTTTTTATCTTTGTACTCTACTTTTAGAGCTGCCCCTAAACAATCATCCTTTTCCTTTTTAATGTAGTGCATAATGTTCAATTCTTTTCTGCATAAATCTTAATCAAACAATTTTTCCTTTCTTAAGATCTATGTGAAGTTAAACCAACAACATTAAGAGGGTAGTGGCGGAGTATTATTTAGTTATGAGACAGATTCCAGCATGCACTACCATTAGTTTTTTGTTTAGTGATTTTTCAAGTGATTTTGTTATCGAAGATATACAATCATTAAACTGATTCAATCATTTTTTTAAGCTAGAGATAACTATGCCTTTATAAGAGAAAATTCCCGAAATAGGAACTAAAACAGTGTGTTCCCTAGATAGAAGTAAATTACTGTCATCATGAACTCATACTACCATAATTTGGCATGATCACTCATCAAGCATTAGTGTGGCAGTATTAATGCCACAATATGCAGGATTCTCCAAGAATATCCCTAATTACTCCTATTGGGGGGGGGGGGGATACAGTACTCATATTTAGGGAAATTTCTGTTTTTTAACTGAGTTTAAGGTGGGTTTCGGTAGTTTAGTGCTGGGTGTTATTGTGTAAATAAAATCATTTTTGGTCATTTCTTTCTTTCATCTCATTTTTTAGATTTCCAAAAGTAATATTGCATTAGTTTCTTTCGAAAGCCATGCAAACGTATGTTCAACAATGGAAGAAGGGGATTGTGTATTGGCACCCGGATATAAAGGAAGCATATGGTACTCTCATAATAATTGCAAAAGGAAACTGCGGTTTTTGGTATCATTTATTGCAGTCAGAAGATTGTTTCGTTTTCTGTACTGGAAAATAATAACTAAAGACCTTAAATTCCAGTTTTGTATTATGCCACCCAATTATAGTGGTTAGAGGACATATAGTTTCATAGTATATACTTATTGACATCACCACAGATGCTAATAGATATGCCACCACTTGTTCCTTTTAGGTGTCATCCTGATGCTGAAACTTACAATGCTCTCATCAATGCACATGGCCGAGCTGGCCAGTGGCGTTGGGCAAAAAATATCATGGAAGACATGCTCCGTGCAGCTGTGTGTGTTTGTTTTCCTTCTGTAATTATATACGGAGTATTTGCTTATGATGTGAGCTTCTTTTATCTGTTTTTCATTTTCCAACTGCTATATGTTTTTTTGGATATTGTAACAGATTCCCCCAAGTCGGTCAACATACAACACCTTGATCAATGCATGTGGGTCCAGTGGAAATTGGAGAGAGGCCTTGAAGATTTGCAAGAAAATGACAGAGAACGGGTGTGGGCCTGATCTGGTGACTCATAATATTGTGCTTTCTGCCTATAAAAGTGGGGCACAGTATGCCAAAGCACTGTCTTATTTTGAACTAATGAAAGGAACCAACATCCGTCCTGACACTACAACCCTAAATCTTGTGATCCATTGCCTAGCAAAGCTCGGAAAATATGATCAAGCTGTTGAAATTTTTAATTCAATGCGAATGAAGAAGGCAGAATGCAGTCCTGATATTGTCACATTCACTAGCATCATGCATATGTATTCTACTTGTGGACAGATTGAAAACTCTGAAGCTGTTTTCAAATCTTTGCTTTCAGAAGGCATGGAACCAAACATTGTCACATATAACACACTATTAGGTGCTTATGCTGCACATGGGATGAGTGGAAAAGCTTTACTAATTTTGGATGAGATGAAAAGTCGTGGAATCCGCCCTGATGTTGTATCCTACACATCTTTACTCAATGCCTACGGAAGATCACAACAACCTGAGAAGGCAACAGAAATATTTGAAATGATGAAGAGAAACAACTTGAAACCAAATATAGTGAGTTACAATGCACTCATTGATGCCTATGGTTCTAATGGTTTTCTTGCTAAAGCTGTACAAGTGATGCGTGAAATGGAGCAGAATGGTTTGCACCCGAATGTTGTCACGATTGGTACTTTACTTGCTGCATGTGGACGATGTGGTCAAAAGGTGAAAATAGATTCCATTCTATCAGCTGCTCAAATGCGTGGCATCCAGTTGAACACTGTTGCCTACAACTCAGCTATTGGAAGTTATTTGAATTTTGGGGAATATGAAAAGGCTTTGAATTTATACAGTTTGATGAAGGACAAGATGGTCATGCCTGACTCTGTTACGTATACGGTGTTGATAAGCGGATGCTGCAAAATGTCAAAATATTGTGAGGCACTTGTGTTTCTTAATGAAATGATGCAAATGAAAATTTGTATGTCAAGAGAAGTATATTCATCTGCAATTTGTGCATACAGTAAGCAGGCAAGTATCTGAAATGTTTGTGAGTGCAAAGTAACAAGTTAACAACACATTATTGATTTCATTGATATGGTTTTTTACTTAAAGCTTGATAGTTATAATTATCATTTCCTCTCTCTTACAAAATGAGGATGTTTTTACTTGGACTGAAATTTGCTGGGCTGGTCTGTTTAAGTCTAGTATGGTGTGCTAAATGTCTGGTCCCTGTGTATTTTATAACTACAAAAATCTGGTCTGGTCTGGTCTATTTAAGTATGGTCTGGTCTGGTTTGGGACTGTAAACAGTCCAAGTAAAAACATCTTGAGTTCTATTTGACCAAGGTGTTGTCCTTGTCAAAGTGCAACGGTTATAATTCATAAATGGCACGTATATTGCAGAGGCTTTTTTATGGTTATCTAAATTTGTCATATTAAACTTGTTTGTCAGTACTTGATTTTGGCATTTTTTTTATCCTCATATAATTAAACAGTTCTTTTAGGAAAAAATTATTTATAGAAAATGACTCACCTCACCTCCTCTCATTCCCTCAGGGTCAACTTGCTAAGGCAGAATCTATGTTCACCATGATGAAATTGGCTGGCTATCAGCCTGATGTCATTGCATACACAACAATGCTACATGCTTACAGTGTTGCAGGTGAGTTATTATAAGCTCCATATGCCCAAAACAAAAGGATGCACATCTCAAAACTTATTTTGTCCCAAAACAAGTTATTTTTTGAAAATGTCCCAAAACAAAAGTTATTTTTCATTTAAACTAAAGTAACTCTTGACAATAAAATGTTCCAAAAAAGTGAAATACGCTAAACAAAGTTAACCAAACAAATAAATTTTAAATAGAAATATTTGTCAAGAATCGCAGCACATTGCATAAATTTTAAAATTGGGCCTTGATTAAATTAAATTAAAAAAATTATAAGTTGGGCCTTGATTAAATTAAATTAAATGAAAATTTTAATTTAATCAAGGCTCAACTTTTAAATTTATGTAATGTGCGATTCTTGAAAAATACCATACACTCAATCATGCTACATGTATATGTTACATGTATCTGTGTCCCCTGGAAAACATGTGTAATTTATTTTACAGACAATCTGGAGAAGGTTTTCACAGTATTCCTAGAAATGGAATCAAATAATGTTATTCCAGACTCTATTGCCTGTTCATTTCTTATGCGGGCCTTCAACAAGGGAGGCCAACCAGCCAGAGCTCTTATTGTGGCAGAGTTCATGCGAGAAAGGAGTATCCCTTTTATTGATGCTGTTTTCTTTGAGATGGTTTCTGCATGCAGCATGTGAGTCTTGTTGAGCAGCATTAATGACCTGCATATATTGATGCTAATAATTATGCTTCTGTCACTCTTTGCATTTGTAAAAAATTGAATTTCAAGCTCGTGTTTTCCCTAAGTAGTGACCTATGATCCCCATCATATATTTCAATATAAGCTCAAATATTAGTCAAAAAGAGCTTCACCTAACATAAACCAGTTTCCAATATTAGTGAAAAAGAGCTTCACTTAAAATCAAGCTTGGTTTACAGAATGCTTCTCTTTGGTCTACACATCACACCTGGCTCTTAAGTTCTCTATCATATGTTAACTGATTTGATGTTTACACTTGCGACAAAACGTTTGTGGATAAGTTGGTTGCACTAGACTTCTATTGGTTCTTAAAAGGTGGCTTCTCTCATGAACAATTGTATAAATATTTATTTCCCATTTCTCAAGAAACTAAATTGTTATTATATATGTATTCAAAGATTAAGAGACTGGGAAATGACGAGTGAAATTATTAAATTGATGGAGGCATCACTCCCTGGCATCTCAGTTGGAATTCTGAACCAGCTTCTCCTGTGTATTGGAAAATCCGGCAAGATTGAGACCATGATAAAGGTAGTTTAGAAGTTATCAAGTACGTAGTATGTTATTTGAATCATTGAAAAGGTCGAAGGTATATTCTCATGCATTCATTCCTGTGTAGTTCTACTACAAGATAGTTGCATCAGGTGCAGAAATCAACTTATCCACGTACTCAGTTTTGTTAGAGAATCTTTTGAGTGCTGGAAATTGGAGGAAATACATTGAGGTGACTCGATAACTTCTCTATTATTTTATGAAAAGTTTCTACTTTTGGTCCCACAACTACTTACAATCATCTTTTCCACCTCTAGTGCACTTCTATGGAATATTGGAATTGTTGCACTTTGGTCCTTTCAATCTCTTATTTGGCCAATTCTCTACAATTTCAAATTAAATTTTCATCGTATAGTGATCAGAAAGACTAACAGTGACAACACAGAAATTATGGTGTTATGCATTAAAAGTGGACAAAAATGAAATTTGTGGACCAAAATATAAATGACCTTAGTTGTGTGACTAAAACTGGACTATTTTCTTGTTTTTTTTGGCATAATTTAGCATATATATTTGAGAAATAGAAACTGCATTGCTGCAGAACATTATTTCCAATGGATGCTATGTGGTATGAAATTGGGCAGCCAGAGAGCTTTGGTGGTTAGGATGAGCAAATCTTAACTTCCAAATTTTAGTCCTTCAAGCCCAACCCAACTAAACATGAATTTGGATTTTAGTTCACTTTTCATGTATTGGATATGGAGTATGGTTGAGCAGCCCAACACGACTTCTCATGTTTGAAGTCATTACTAAATTTGGGGCAAAGAACATTATACAAACTAGTAATAGTAAGAACGTTCCTTGACGTTTTACTTAAAGAAGATAACATTAAATAGATATAATCATATAATCTAACAAATCAGTTATTTAAATGCTTGGAAGATGCACTTGACTCACTTCGCAACCATTGCACAGAAACTAATGCAGAGTTTGGCTGGTCCCTTTCATTTTTTAATGGTTGGTCCCTTTTCATTGTTCACAAACTCCTGCTCCAACTTGTTGACTTATCCAAATCGGTAATTATTTTGTATTTTTGAAAACTTCAATGGTTTCACAATGCTCTCATGCAGGTGATGCAGTGGATGGAGGAGGGAGGAATCCAACCTTCAAAAGAAATGTACCAAAACATACTCATCTTTGCCAAGAGGAGTGTCGGAACTGAGTATGGTGCTGTAATAAAAGAACGAATGCGTATGCTCAGTTCTCCTTTGTTATCCAATATTAACTCTATAATCTATATTTGTTGCACATGTTTATACATATTACAATTATAACTTTTTACAAGTTATAATCTATTTGTGAAATGAGAAATTATTACTTGTCAGTGCAAATGAAATTATGAGGTTTAAGCTTCTATTTCCGGTCTTACTAAAGACATTGTTTGTTAATATGACAGGAACTTTAAGAACAAAATATGGAGAGAAGACAACCAGCGCGTCAGGATATATCCGCTCCTCCAACGCATTGGCATATCAATTTCTCAAATAGTTGCATCTCCGGGATGTGTACATGTATGGAGACCAGAAGACCTAAATATGTCACACCTCAATACTTCTTACCAAGCAGAATATTGATTTGTTAATTTAGCAGGTATCATGTTAGGTGGGCCAAATGAGGAATTATTCAATTTGCCACAAGCTCAAATGCAGTCTATGTGCAAGGAGTCGAGGACAAGCATGGAGTTGATCATGGAGTAGCATTCTTCTTGACAGCCTAGTTACACTTGTTTATTAAAGATGTGAGTGCATTCAATGATAAATGTAATTTTTTTTAAAAAAAATTAGAATGTATATAGGCTAGAATTGTAGCACATCATATGTAACTAGTTCTTTCACTCATGCATTACACAGGATACTTTGACTACTAGAAATTGAATTTTTTATCTCGAAGAAACAAGTTCATATTTATAAAGTCTAGACTGTTTGATTGACTTTTCTCTAAACAAAAATAAATGTGAAATTTTTGACCAATCAGTATTATCGCATATAGCCATATAGACATGTATACTTTATAAGTTATAACTACTCAACCATAAATATGGTAGCACAATGCCAACTAGGGGTGGACTGGGCCAGGCAGACCTAACTTGAAAGGTGTTACTTCTGAGATCGAATGTTATCTTCCACAACTCTGTGCCTCTATTTATCGAACATAGTGATTTATTCACACAAACTGATGCCAAAGCAAAATACAATATATGAATAGACACTTGATGATCACGAATAATAATCAAATTGATCTTGAGGTGTGGACGTGTGGTGCAAAAAAAATGAAGTAATGATTTTCCAAACTAAACTGAATGCAATCTAATTTTCAAAATTGAATAAATTACAAAAGAAAAAAATCAGAAAACGATAGCCCTTGGCCCCTTATGGAGGTCTGTGCAAAGAAAATGAAAAAATACAGTATCATGTCACGGCTGAGTTAAGCATTTTATTTCATAAACATGCTTTATGTATAGGTGAAATTGATAAGATTAATCCTTGCTTTAATCAATTAAAAAAAAGTAATCCCTACTTCAAACTTTTGCATGAGTAATTCAAGCTTCCCATGAGGTCCACATAAATATAATGAACTAGACAGAGCTTTCTTTTAGTGTAACACCGTTTAACCAGTTTTCTTCTTTTTTTTTTTCACATATAAACCAAGCATATTGAGAGGGTCAATCGAGTTCCGCAGGTACAAGAATTCAATTTATTTCTGGTCTTAGAAGATCCCTACCCAACCAGTTTTCTTCTCTATCTGTGTTTCTCTATATCTTCCTTCGCCTCGTTCCTCAAATGGCATAACAGAGAGCTTCAATCAAAGCGGACATTTGATTTTCTCCAACAACAATTTTTTCGCAGCCTGAATTTTCTGCAGCTCGTTCTTAAGATTTTCATTCCGTCACAATTAAATACTTGTGTGTTGGACCATGCTCCCATAAGAAAAAAAATACACTTATCACTTATCACTCTGCAAAATCAAAACAAAAAAATCAAGTAACAATTTGAATACACTAAGGCTCAAGTTTTTTTATAATTTTTATTTCTAAAACTCAAAAGTAACTAGATTATGGCACTTCATAACTACAAAAATTCTATTTGTTTTACCTTCAATTTGGGGCAGCCATAAATCTCTTTCCCTTGTTTCGCCCTGAGGATACCATCTGCAGCGATGAAGAAACGCCATGGTTGCACTTCACTTTATGTTTGGATGCTTGTGTTTCAGAGGGGCTTAATTTTAAACTGATTTCATCACAATCGACAGAGGCCATGTGCTAGCTACACAGTTTAGATTTTACAGAGAGATGACATACTAGGAGGATGGAGAAAAATTAGATAATAGATTCATGTAACACTGGTTTGGACGGAAAATAAGAAATATGATGAAAATATGCACAAATATTTTTCCTCACATACTCTACAGGGCAAAGACCCCAATATCGTTTGGGACTAAGGCTTGGATGTTGTTGTTTGTTGTACTCTACAGGGCAAAGACCTGCCATTCAATAAACAGGATTCAACAGACACAGTCAATAAAAAATGGAAAGGGATAAAATCCTTACCCGTAGAACAGTATTGAAGGACTGAGAGATAATTGCCAATCAAAGTAAACTGTTCAATTGCCTAAGTGACACTTCATATCAACGATTACTCAATTGTTTATTGAATGAAGATGCCATCTTTATGCACAAGCAACATCATTAATCATTAAAAAAAATGCAAAACATAACTTACATTTGGGGAACTGAAGAAAATGTCGGTTGAGAAACGCTAGTGTCGGTGTTCCCTATGAGCTCGACGGGTGCATAAGGTAACTCTAATGCCAATCTGTAACTTCATGAAGCCTCTGCCCTCTGGAAGTCAAAGAGAGTGAAGTCGAGTTAGGGGTGGGATTACACTAACGGAAAGATTTAAAATTGACAGATAAACTAAGTAAAGAAAGAGGCTGGAGCACTTTATTAACTCTGATCGCTTTTTCATTTCTCTGTTACTAAAGTAGCTGAAAAGTTTGACTTCATTCTTAATTCAATATGAACTATTATTTTCTCTCTCAAAATGATACCATATTAACCACCTGAGTTTGATTACTCCAAAATGATACCATATAATACACTTAGTTATCAACTGAATGAAGTAACATAGTCTTGAAAATCCTAATGTTCAATCCATTACACTAATTTATTAACTGGTTAAAATGTTCTGTTCAGTGCATTACACTAATGGCCTTACGGTTCAATTCATTGGATGATTCCCAACATAGTTTTGAAAAGCCTGTCTCAACACGCCATTTCAAACGCCGGCCAAATTTTCCCCTCTTATTCAACATATATAAGAGTGTTCGATACGTAATAGTCATGAATGTATTAACTTTGTTAAGAATTTCAAAGGTGACAGAATGATTCCAAAGTCTACTGATAGCTCTAATTCGATGAAGTTTAGTAAGGCTATATTTGGGTGACATTTCAGCCAATAATGGACCGGAGTTTTTTAAGTTCAACCAATAAATGGAGAATTAGCACTGTTTGGTGAAAAAATATGGGGAGACATACAGCATTGGTTAACAGTCATTTTATTAATCAATATCTGTTATATAAAGACAAAAAGAAAAACAAATCAAACCTTTTTTAAAAAGATTGACCACATCTCATTACCCTTTGTACATTCCGAGATAAAAACAAACACAAGAAAATAGCTCTCTATAGCACTTTTGTCATTCCAAGCAATTTCTGTGATTCAAACATATGTAAAATGTATATGACACGCCAAAAGGCTGGACACAGAAATGAAAGAGTGAATCTATATATATGTAAAAGCCCCCTGCAACTGGAAGTAATTACTGTGTCCAATGCCGGTGCCTAAGGGGGGGGGGGGGGGGTTGGAGCAGTTCATGATGCTTGGGTCAAGAACAACTCGAGTGCATACGGAGCTCAAATAAATGAAGTAGAAAACAAAATATTTCTTTTTAAAAATAAAAAAATCAGCAATGCATGTAGTATTTTACCAATAGATCAACCAAAATAAACATTAAACTACTACATTTTGAAAACAGGTTTTTCGTAAATTTCATGCTTCATTCTCGAGTTTCATATTTGATAGCACAAGGGGTGTAGAGTATTTTTAAAAGGTGTATGTGAGGAGGGGAAAGAAGGGCGTGAATCATTAATGAGCTGGCTTATTTGTTGAATATATGTAAGGAAGGGAAATAAGGGAGAGGTAGGCTGGTATTCTGTTAGAAATGGCTGGGCTTGGCTAGAGAGAGAAACTCCCTGTTCTTTCTCTAGATTGGATTGTTTTCTCGTTCCTCACTGTAATCCTCTCCTGGAATACTGAGAATTCCTCAGTTTCCATTGCTAATAATACTGCTTCAGTTACTGTTTTTAGCTTGGCTAACATTGGTATCAGAGCAGTTCGCTCCTGAGCTGGTGAATGAGATTTACCCGATCACAAATGGAAGGACGACTGGATAATCTCGAGCAGAAGATAGATCGTAACATGGAGTGAAACACTCACCTCGAGCAAAAGATCGATCGCAACATGGAGGAGATGCGCAATATGCACGAGATCATTTCCGAGCTGCGTCAAATGGCAAACTCACAGGCGACGATCTCCAGATGCTAGCGAGAAGTCTTCGCACTCTCGAGGTAATACGAATAGCACTTCCGTTTCTGTGTGCGCTCATGAACATGCACATGTTAATAGAGGATTTGAGAGAACTGGTAGGAAAGTGGATCTTCCTCTATTTAATGGTGAAGATGTGAATGTCTGAATTTATTAGAGTGGAACGATTCTTCAAATTAAATCATGTGACCGAGCAGGAAAAGGTAGAGCTGGTTGTTTAGGCCATGGAAGAAAAAGCCTTGAATTGGTTTCAATGGTGGGAAGAACAAAATGAGGAAAAACTTGGGAGCTTTTAAGGGAGCACTGATCAGGAGATTCCAACCAGAGTTAGTACAGAATACGTATGGGCCAGAGTTAAGCATTAAACAGAATGGATCGGTGATGGAGTACACGGAACGATTTGAACTGGTAGTGGGCCCATTGAAGCATACTGATGAGGAGATGCTCAAGGGAATTTACCTCAATGGATTGAAGGAGGTGAAAGCAGAGCTAGAAGGGAAGAATGCTGCAATTCGAGGGGGAAAATACAAGGAGGGAGACCAGATGGCTGGAAGGGAGAAGGGAGAGGCACTGAAGAAACCTCAACAGTGGATAGATGGCAGCAAATGGAGATTCCAAACCAATATTCAATCGTCTCAGGAAAAATCTGGAGTTGTGCCTAAGGCGGGAGTTAAACCGGAACTCAATAATAACCGGAAGGGTGGTCAGAGGCTAACACAAACAGAATTACAAGACAGAAGCAGGAAGGGGCTGTGTCTCAAATGCGGGGAAAGATGGGGCAAGGATCATGTATGCAAAATGAAATACTATCAGTTCATTCTCATGGAGGGGCCTGAGGAAGAAGCAGATAATATGGATCCAGAAGTGAATTTGAATGAGGCAGATATCTCCCTAGAACCACAACAAATGCTACTATCAGCCATGAGCAAACAGGGGATCACTACACAGAAGACCATCAAGTTGGAAGGGAAATTGATGGGAAAGGGGATATCAGGTTGATGTGCAAGGCCTTGATATTATACAGAATTTCTACCTCCTGGAGCTGGGATGGACATATTTAGTGTTTGGGGTTGAATGGCTTGCCAGTTTGGGGAATGTGGAGATAAATTTCCAGGATCTCACACTTAAGTGTTGTGAAGAAGGGAGAATAGAGATCTTAAAAGGAGATCCAACTTTAAGCCAAGTGCAAGTTTCCTGGAAGGCACTGGTAAAAGCTATCAAAAATGAAGGCCAAGGTTTTTATGTGACTTGTGGGAACTCTCAGGATGAGTCCGTAAATGGGGCTGCACCAGGAGAATTAAGGCAGGAAGTGTTGGACAAGCATAAGGAGGTTTTTCATATGCCAGCAATGTTACCTCCTAAAAGAAGTTGTGAATTTGTGATCATGCTATCGACATTAGGGAAGAAGCCAAAATACCTAACATACGACCTTACAGGTACCCCTCACTACCAGAAAGATGAAATAGAGAAAATTGTGAAGTACTCACAGATACGACTCATAGATAAATTCCCAGTTTAAGAAACATACAGATTGCCAAAGGGGATCATTCTGTAACTGAATCATTTAGTAATTTGATAGAGAGTAGCAGACTATTTAAAATAGGCTATGCTAATGACAGATGTTAGGACATAAGAGATATCTAGAGGTTATAAGAATATTCAAATAGGCTAATTCCATTGACATAAGTTAAACAGAACACAGTGTTGTCAATTTGAATGCACATTTTAAATAACCATGTTACTGGTAATTTATAAGTTTGTGACAACAAAGGAGTGAAATACAAGTTTAGGCTACAATTATTCCATTTACAGCACTTTGTACATTCTTAATTGTTTAGTTATGTTTTACGAAATTAAGTAATGCTTCTTTAGTATAAAATATAAACATATGTAAAATGTATATGACATGCCAAAAGGCTGAACACAGAAACGAAAGAGTGAAGCTATGTATGTAAAAGCCCCCTGCAACTGGAAGTAATTACTATGTGTCCAATGCCGGTGCCTAAGGGGGGTTTGGAGCAGTTTTGAAATGCCTATCTCAGCACCTCTGATTTCATTCTTATTGCAATATGAACTATATTTTTTCCCCTCAGAACGATACCATATTAACCACCTGAGTGGACCTCCATCTCAACAACCATTACAAGCAAAAGCAGAAGTAAAGCTTTTCTAACAGTCTTGAAAATCCTAATGTTCAATTCATAACACCAATTTACAGTCTCAAAATGATACCATATAATACACTTTGTTATTCCCTCCACACATTGTATTTTTTCAAGTTTGAGGTTCACACCTAATAAATTTATGAAAAATTATGGTTAAGCTTCTACGTTCTTATGTTTAGTCAGAATCAAACATAATTCAGTCCAAGGTAGTCAAAAGTGTGCACCTTGTCGCTTAAGCGCACCAGGCGCAGCAAGCAGGGACTCCAGCGCTTGGGAGAAGGGCATGCACACGCAGATGGGTTAGGCGCAGCTTAAGCGCATGAAGCGCTGAAGCGAAATCAGTCGCGTGCTTGGGTCGCCTGGTGCGAATAAGGCTGACAGCCTTTTGTTTTCTTTAAAACTTTTAAAAATAATTAGCCCATATATGTAATAACACTCAGTCCATCTAAAATCTAAATAATACGGTAAAACAAGTAAAACCTGCATAAAACCTCTTAAGTCACATATGAAAAGATGTAAAACCCAGCGTAAACAACCAAGTTTTCTCGCTAAGCCTCAAGTCACTAAACATCGCTATTCAGTCTACTCACTCTCCTCAGTTTCTTCATCTTCTCAAGCAACCTCAATTTAATCACAGCTCTAAATAAGGTATGTGTTTTTTTATGCAGTCCTCTTCATCCAATATTTTAGACTCATATAGACATATAGTCTTATACTCATACTACACTAGTATCTAAATACTATTGTCTAAATGTGTAATAAACTAATAATACTAGTATACCACTTATTGAGTTATTGGTATATAAGTATATTACTAGCATACTATGTGTATAATACTAATCGTAATATAGTAGTAGTACACTGTAATGTGTATACTGTATATAATACTCTGCTTTGTGCTTTTCCAAAGATGTAATCCGAGTTTTTAAAATTTTCATCACAAGTCACACAAACATTTCAGTTTTTAATCTTAAATTTCTCATTTTATGTCACTAGGTTGATCACTAAATAGTATCGTACGTTTGAAAAATTGTCTCATTATAATCTAAATAAAATACTCAGCTTTGTTCTATGCATTTGGTTCAATGTGATGTTACATACATCATATTTGGTAATTATAGAATAGTATATGTGATATTTTCTAAGTAATGCACTTCACCCGAGTCAGGCAAGCGCTTTAATAGCGGCTTGCGCCTCAGGCGCTGGAAGGCCCCTAGCGCTTTGCGCCTTTCGACTTTGACTACCTTGATTCAGTCTTAAGCAGATGAATGACAGTGAGAGGGAGCTAAAAGGGACTGAAAACCAGCATAGACAGGGGAAGGGAAGCAGAGAGATGACAGGAAGTGCGGAAATTTTTCCCAAGTTGCATAAAAACGAATTTATAGTTGCTGAAGGCGTGAGGTCTGGAGTAAGAACCCCTGCATCATCCATAACTGATGAAATCAATGACAAGGCGTTCAATTAACATAGTAATATGGGTATTAATGAGGAAGAGATGAGCAGACCTGAGCAAAAAAAGGAGAAACGGGATGTAAGCGTAGTATGTAGCCGGTTGGCGCAAGAAGACGGCAACGATGGCAGCCCGCTCGGTTAGGTTAGGGCGTGTATGTAACCACCTGTGTGACACCAGGGTTAGGGCCGTTGTGAGATGAAAGAAGCCGGGGGTCATTCATTGTTGAAGGCTTAAGCTGAGATAACAGAACGAGACGGAAATCAAAGGGAAAAATAAAGTCCTTCAGAAAAGTAAACACAATAAAAGACATTGTACAACCTAATAAAGCTAGATGATTACACCAACATTTTTTTCATCACTAAAATACAAGATTTTAAGATAAAAAAAAGTTTGAAAGTTGAACATAGTTGTGAACCTTTTTTGTGAATCAAAACTACCTTCATATAAAATTTCAGATTTGTTCCTTCAAAAAAAAAAGAATCATGAACATGGGACTCGAGAAGAATCATTTTTTACGGATACGTTATACAGAATATACATAAAAGAATTTTTTATACATTAAATAAATCAAAGAGGCTAGAGTTTAAATCAACCCTGAAAACATGAGAAATAAACAAATAAAAGGTAAAAATTACCTTTCCGTGTGTTGTTTGCTTGCTTGCTTGCTAGTGAAGAACATCCCGTGTCAAAACCATTGAGGGTGCCAACTATCCGCAAACATACATATTAACACAGTTTCTCCGATGTAACTCTCAGTAGATTGCACAATATAAGCAAACCTTTCTCAATGAAAACTGGGGTTAGTGAGGAAAATGTGGGAAGGAAGCACAAGCTTTAACACCGTGAAAATAACAAACTAGACCTGAACAACCTTATCCAGGTGCTGTATTTTCTGATTCCCTTATGTTCCAATGCCGTAAAAGAGATCTTGTGTGGGCGTGAAGATAGACACTCAAGTCACAACCCGTCAAATTCATACCATTTAACACCACATAGGCAAGCTCAGAACTTTCTTTAGAACAAAGAAGGGATTGGAGCAACTTATTACAGACACGTGGCATCAAACGTATACCTTTCTCCAAAGTATAATTGAAAACCTCCACAGCCTGATCCAAACTTCCAATCTCAACAAGACTGCTAATCAACATCACACAACTCGGAGCAGACACATTCAGTCCAAACTTCTGAATGATATAGAAAACCTTGACTGCCTCTTCTGGAGTACCTATCTGACAAAGCCCAATCAACCAAATACTATATGGGGCCGAATCAAAATCCGCCAACTTGGTTTCAATTTCCAGCAACCTCTGGACCGCTTTCACCCGCTCCCCTTCCTCCAAATATTTCTCAACCAATTGGATATCCTCTTCATCCCTCGTGGCTTGACTCCTCAAATACCTCAACCAAAGATTAGAAGCTAGAGTGATCTTCCGCCTACGGCAAGACCATGTCATCATGGACTTGTACACGCTTGGTGAATGTACGTTCTTGCTGATATGGTCAAATAGCTTAAAAGCATCTTCTTCCCTCCCAACTCTTTGTAATCCATCAATGAGGGTCCCGTAAGTGACTGGATCGGGGGAATGCCCCTTGATTTGAAGTTCCTCGTAGAGTTTCAATGCACTATCTATTTTTCCCATTTTGCACATTGTGTTTATCAGAATGTTGTATGTAACGGTGTTCGGGGCGGCTCCACTGTCTGCAAGCTGTATAAGAAGCTTGTAAGCCTTGAGAAATGACCCCGCCTCACATAACTTATTAACTCTTGTTTGGAGACTTGCCGTGTCATGAACTGGGTCAACGCCTTGAGAAAGCCGAAGAAATAATGACGGTTTCTTCCCTATCTCCATTTTGTAAAACATGAGTCGGGCTTCATCAATCTCGCCAGATTTACAAAGTCCGTCTATAAGGGCATTGAAATTCTCAACAGAAGGAGAGCAACCTAGTTTCTCCATTTCACTGAAGATATCCATTGCTTCCCTCACCATACCATTCTTGCACATACCACAAATGAGGGAAGTTGTGGTGTAAGTGTCCGGAAAGCAACCGTTCTGTGAAAGTTCAAGCTGAAGAGATCTTGCTTCATCAAGGAGACCCATATCACAAAACCCCTTAATCAGCGTATTGTAGCACTGGGTGTCTGGTATAACACCTCTCCCTGTCATTTCTCTCAGTATATCCAGTGCATCCTTCACTCTACCTTCTTGAGATAACCCCTTAATGACAATAGTGCATAAAACAACATCAGGTGTAATATTAATCTCTAAGAGCTTTTTATATAAACAATTAGCTGCGTCAAACCTCTTAGCCCTAATCAACCCATCAATTAGACAGCTGTATCCCTCCAGCCCTACACCATAGCCTTCACTTTTAAAGGACTCAAACAATGTAAGTGCTTCATCAATCCTACCCGATTTACAGAACCCATTGAGCAAGACATTGTACGATACATAATCTGGAGTGTACCCTCTAGTCTTCATCAAGTTAAACAGCCTACATGCATCTTCTATTTGCTTTGCCTGACACAGTCCAGAAAGAATAACTGTATAAGTCATTTTACTTGGCAGTATCCCTCTCGTACACATTTCATCAAACAGTGCAAGTGCATCCCGTGTATTCCCACTCTTACACAATCCATCGATCAAAATGTTAAATGTAAAGCTGTTTGGAGAACAATTTGACTTCATCATCGTATTATACACGGCTAATGCTAATATAATTACACCTTTCTGAACCATACCGTGAAGGATGGAATTATATGTAAAAGAATTAGCTTTGCAATCAAAATCTTTCATTCTATCGAAGCACTCAATGGCCAACTCAGCCTTATTTAGCTTCCAATAGGCAGAGATCAGAACGTTGAAAGCATCCGGGTAGATTGGCATTGCAGAACTCTTTACTTCCTCGAGCGTCTTCCAATATAGATCGAAATTTTCATCCTTTACGATCATGTCGGTGATTAAATTAAGCGAATCTAAGCTGCGTAAACGTTTCCTATTTGTTGCCCAAATGAAAAATCGAAAATTCAGCTCAGGTTTTTGTAGCTTCCGAAGAGCAGAGGTCACCATATGAGATGATAGGAAATGAGATACCTTTTCAAGAGCGGGTTCCATGGGGGAGACAGTCTCGATGATCTTGATAACCTCGTTGGGCAGGAAATCAGGATGTGTGCAACCTACTTTGGGCTTCGCCGTTCGCAAGCGGATTGGAGGTAGGAGGAGTTTCATAGTTTGGGAGGGTGTGTCCTGGTCAGGGCCTGTCAAAATTTTCTGGTTGTCAGCTTCTCTGCTTCTGAATTCGGTTTCCTGTTTTCCGATGTTGATGAGTGTTGAGTGTTGATGAGTTGCATTTCGATCGAGGAGGGCGGTGGGCGGTCGCCTCCTCTCAAGCAGTCAAGGAGACGCAGACTCGGCACTTGCAGAGCGGCACTGGAAATACGAAACCAGCAAGAGAAACAGAGTGTTCTGCCAACAAAGTGATTAAAGTAAAGTTTAGGGGCCTTACAATAGAAATACATCGTTGCTATGCACTTGCAGAGCCGCATGCCGCATGCCGCATTGTGTAATTCCCCTTTATTATTGTTTTGAGTTTTGACATTGTTTCAACACTGAAGCTATTTGACATTGTTTTGCAGTGTTTTTGCAGTGTTTTGATGTACACAATTCTTCATTTAAGGAAAGGAGAACTTCTTTTTTGAACTGCTAGAAAAAGAAAGAAGGGACTTCTTAACGGGACAGAGGGAGTAAATGAGAAAAGGCCTAAATAATTGAGCAATGAAGCCCTTTTTACTTGCTGGTGTAGGTAATTTCTCATCTTCTTATATACACTAAAAAAGGATCCAATCGCATAATTTTCAATGAGTTGAAGGTGTATTTGCAAGTCTTCTAGTTCATGGGCTTGATTGCAAAATCGTAAATAGTTCGATAGTTTAAATGCCCCTTTTCTCCAAATAAATTTACATAGTAAAATATTTAGAAAAATAATTATAGCTCCTTGGCGGTTGACCAAATCAAAAGTGCTAGACAATTTCTAACATAGAATGGCTTGCAAACTTTAATTTTGAGAATTGAAGGATTAATCACTAAAAAATTGTAAAACTTTATTTCAAACAACCAGAAAAGATTAATCACTAAAAAATCATTATTCTACTCAATCAAATGGAGTATGAGAATACAGGAACAAAATCAAGAGTTTCCGATACAAATTTACACTCAGAATTGAAATTAGGTAGCTAGAAGAAACCAACAACACAGGGTGTGTGCGTGTGTGTATATATATATACACTAGCGGGGTACACACTTCGTGCGAGTTATGCCCAATGCCAATGGGGAAAGAATCGGTTAATACACATTTTTCAACAATATGATTTATGTATATGAATATGGAAATGTTCATTTTTGCGTAGAATTTGATATTAAAGAGTAATATGATATTTGGTGCAAGGGTAATATAGAGGTGAGAATTTGGAAGGAACATATGTACTAAATTATACAATAATGCAAAACTTTGGAATGAATATTACAAATCCATATTTGAATGAGCATATGCATACATACTATGCTTAAATTATTGAAGTAACAACATGAATAAAACTATTATAGATTATATTACATTACATGTGTAGCTTATGCTTGATAATATAATCAGATTCAATATGATAGTACCATAGTGCAACAACATTTAAAATAGTCACACGTTATTGAACTTTTAAGTATACCAACTTAGTATTTTAACACATCGGAGTTTAAGTATACCAACTTAGTATTTAAACAACATTTATGAGTAACTGGTTATCATACTAATTATAAGAGTTCCTAATTAATGTGCTTAATATACATAAACCACTTAATAATCATTATAGAGTCTATGAAGTCAATCTTACATAAGCCTTTATTCTGCACCTATTTAATTATAATAGAATTAAAAAACCATCATTTTTGCTTATTCCCCTTATTTTTGGTAGTTGCAGTTGAAACTTCCTGTGAGTCTGGTTTGTCAAACCTTACAAGAGAGTCCATGTACTAATATCTCAATACCACCTGAATTTACATTTCTCTTTTTTTCTGCTTACATTTCTGAGGAGCGCAACCTATGTCTAAAATTTCTTTGGTGTCGGCGTTCATGATTACAGGCTTGGATACCTGGAGACTCACAATCTTCCATCTTTGCTGGTTAGATTTAAGTAAATTTTAAATTCTACTGAACACGTATGTAGTCATAAGCTATTAAATAAGAAGTATATAGCAGTAAGTAGGTATATCTTGTACATGCATGTTATACTTACATTTTAATGTTATTAAAAACTTTACAAGAAGGGTGTGTAAATGTAAAATGGTGATTTTTGTCATTATTGACAATGCTGGTAGTACGATAACATTAGAATATACTACGAACATAAATTTTGCAGACTGTACAAGTAAGGATTAGAAAGACTAACCGAAAGCATGTAACCTTTGTGCTTTTGTCGTTGATCTGTAAGAAAAGGTTAAATCAAAGTATAAAGGCAGATATTAATATATCAAAGATAACATCAGAATGCAATGAATGTGAAGTATTGGAATATTTTATTCCAATAATTAATATGGGCTAATATTATAATTATTTTATTAGCTATTTATCATAATTGGGTTTTATTTATGTATTATCTAAACCCAATAGACTATTAAGATAGGTGTATGGGCCAAAATAATAAATGGCCAGAGGCCCGTGTTGCTTGTTAGGGTATAATGGGAGCTCTAACTAGACCAACACAATCTATAAATAGGTTATGGTCCCCAATACATTGAACCACCAACAATTCACTTCTCTTCTCCCCATCGGAAGAGTGACTAAGGCCTCGGGTTCAATTGAGGAAGATCCAGACGCCATCTTTCTCGTTCCATTCCTCTTGCCGCTTCGCTATGGATCCAGGTAGTAATCTTATTATACTCTATTATTCAACATGATGAAGGTCCTGGAATTATTAAACAATCCATTTGATTTGTTCTTGTATTGCTTCCGCTATATGTAAAAGTATTTCCAACAATTGGTATCAGAGCCTCCTTCATGTTGAATCATTTGGAGTTTTTTTTTTCATATTTCTTGTTTCAATCTTAAACGATTGAATTTCTGGATTTTTTGTTTATGTCATATGATCTGTCGTTTTGCTATAGATCGAGGGTAATGCGAAATTACGTTTACTCGTGATTCGTTCCTAAAGTATTCATATCGGTAGTTGGAATTGATGACTTATAAGGGATCGAATATTTTGAATTTTTTTTTTGTCTTAAATCGTTCTTACGATTTACAATTGGAATTTCGGTATAATCACCGGCAATTCATAGTTGGATCGGTAAAGTGGTATTTTTCCATTTTTTTTACTGCCGAATTTTTTTGAATGCCGCATAATTCATTCAGTTTTGTTTTTCGGTAGATGATTCAAATTGATAACTTTTATAAGAATCATCATATTCATAAAACCTCCCTTATTTAATTACTTTTAATTACTTTAGTTTGAAAAGCATTCAAATTGATAACTTGTATAAGAATCACCATATTCATAAAACCTCCCTTATTTAATTACTTTTAATTACTTTGGTTTGAAAAACAGTGAGTGATATGTAACTGACAGATCACTTAATATTTAGTGAATGGGTTTATCACTTTGATTTGCTTTCAAACTTTGGCGTTTTATTTTTCACACGTATATGCATATATATGATGTATATATGTTAAGGTATCTTACATAGTTGCATACATTAATACGTATATATTATATGGCAAGTATGGTATAATATAATGCATTTATTTGGAGTTTTTTTTTTTCTTTTTAAACTTCCATACGTGTATATATAGTATCGTATTATTTATGCCAAGTGCATATATATGTTTTGGTTACATTTTGCATATGTGTGTATATATGGTAAAATATACATATATACCTATACGGCTATAGGTGTGTACATGCATGTTAAGAATGTTTGTATATGCTTATAGGTGTGTACATGCATGTTAAGAATGTTTGTATATGCTAAGTAAATATTAGCATGTCTAATATTTGGGTTGGTTAAGTTAATTGACACAACATGTTGTCAAAGTGGAATCTCTTGTTGAAATTCATCAACTCATATATTAACATGATTGTGTACTTTCTTATTTCATGTGGATAATAATCGGCCCAAAGGAAGGTTATTATTTGGCCGAATTTTAAGTACATTTGTGATACTAAAAATTTGTGATAATTATGAGGCTTTCATGTGAATATTAAGTCGGTCCAAAGAAAGGCTTAATATTTGACATGATTTTATTATCAAAATTTTATTATTACACCAAGAGTACCACTTGCAAGTCTAATTTATGTCCAAAGACAAGATTAGATGTTGCGCTGGGTATCTTGTGATGGAATTGCTAATATTTAAACTAATTATCAAGTTAATTTCAATTTTAGTTTTTTTTCGTGTATATGACTACATGTTAAAATTATATACTCTAAATTTTAAAGCATTACATACATATGCAAATATATGTGGAGTTTTAATTTACACACTTGTATGCATATATTTATGTCAAGTGTGAAACAGTATGGTATACGAAGTATATGCTAAGTATATAGGAGTATATTTTCTTTTGAATTATCAAATACGTGTGTTTGTGTGATGCATATTTATTACATACACGTGTAGTATGATAAGTATATATGGGATAATATGGGATGTATTTTGACTTTTTAAAGTAGCTACCAAGTATACGGATGTACATACAGTAAGCATATACGGATAGTATGTGTGTTTTCAGTTTTGCACAAGCTAAGTATGTATGTGTATATTTGAGCATAATATTCTTGTTCATATTAGTCACGTCATATATGTGTGCATATAAGCATATTGAATACATTTATTTATGGGTGATGTTAAATATGTTAAGATATTAATACATATCTGTATGCATGGTAATTATGTAATTATGTACACACGTTAAATATTGCATATATACATGCATATGTGAGTATACATGTTGTAATTATGGTATGTGTATAGTACACATGTTAACGTATATGGTATTTTATTTATGCATAGAATACCTTAAGGGATGGACTTAGACATATATGTTACAATATTTGATATGCTTTTATGTTTTAAAATGGGTATGAAATAAATGCATCCTATCATATCCAATTTAAAAATATACCCGTTTCTTTTGGGGAAGGAGTATTTGCACTTTGGGTCTTCCGATTCTTCGTTATACATATTATAACGTTAGGAAGTTCTTTTGGATCGGGACAAAATATGTGAAATTTTAAGACCTCCCATTTAATAAAATTGTCTGATAATTTTTTGTTGGATGAACTCAAACCACATGTTGCCGAAGTAACCTCTGTTGGATTGAATAATTCAATTAAATTATTATCATAGATGTTTGTATGTGATGATTCATGTGAATTATGATCGGCCCAAAGGAAGACATAATTTGACCGGATTATTTACATACCTGCAATAATAAATATGTGGTGATTATAAGGGAGAATTTAATTTTAATTTTCATTCCATGTGAATAGTGGAATGCCCAAAGGCAACCATTATTTGACAGGAT